CTGTTCGACATTTACTGGTTAACCCGCGTTCCGTTTTTCTACTTAGCATTTATTATAAACTTGAAAGACTGAATTTAAATTTGAATATTCACGTCTATCACCAAACTGGATAACAGTGTTTTATATACTAAACAGAGGGATCCAGAGGTGGGCAAAAAGATCAAGATGGTGGCTGGGACACACATTAAAAAAAACAATTACAGGTAGTCCTCGACTTAAAACAGTGACCGTTTGAAGTTAGAACGGCACTGAAAAAAATGACTTATCACCAGTTTTCACACCATTGCAATATCCTCATGTGAACAAAATTCAGTTGTTTGGTAACTGACTCATATTTATGACGGAGTCATGTGATCACCTTTTGCAACCTTCCGACAAGCAAAGTCAGTGAGGTAGCCACATTCATTTAACAACCATGGTATTAACTTAACAACTGCAGTGATTCACTTAACAACTGTGGCAAGAAAAGTCGTAAATTGAGGCCAAATTCATTTAACAAACGTCTCGCCTAACAACAGAAATTTTGGGCTGAATTGTGGTCATAAGTCGAGGACTGCCTATACAGTCTATGGCCATATCTTAATTTTTCCCCCCACTTCCCATGGATGTCTCTGGTAGGAGACACTCTCCACATTTAATCTTCCTTCTTCCCAATTCCCAGGATCAAATTCAGGTGTGAAAGTCACGGTAAGTGACTAAACAGAAACAAACCTCCCTGTTCACATCGCTATTCTGTGTTTTAACAACTTAAGAGCCAACAGTTTGCACATAATTCGCATTTTCACATCAAGGCCAATGCAATGTTGCTCCAACATCTCTTGGGATGAGCTAAAGGAGCGTAATTGTCCACATTTCTACGCAGATATGCTCCACTTCCTTTCTTCTGAATCTCAGAACAGACCGACATGTTTTAAAGCTTTTCAAGCTGTTATTCTAGCTTTCTTAGAAGACTGACCACCAGCGTTCTCCTTCAACTTAGCGAAAATCTTATTCTGTACCAATTCGCCAACATGGAGAGAGAAAACATAAAAGCCTTGCTCGAAGGAACCAACCCTACATTCATTTTTCTGTGGAAATTTCAGCCAGGCTTTTTGAGGGGCACCCACGATCTCACTTAGCTTTGTGGCCACTCTGTTCCCCAAGGGAAAAATAATCTAGTTCAAACGCAACTGTCTAATGCAAGGATAAAAAAATAAAATAAATAAAATGGTTTAGAATTGCATGTTAAAGAGGAATATTAAGAGGGAACCTTTGCCCTCCAACACATGTCCCTTTCTGTTCATAATGAAAAAGCACCATAAAAATATTTTGCTAGCTATGATTGGAAGGATGGAAAAGGCACACCCAGAGCTATAGAGATGTGGATTTTTGCTCCTTAACTAGCTACAACATGGCACTAAGATATATTCTTGGGTTTTACTGATTATAGCATTACCATATGCAATTATTACACTGAAACAAGTGATTTTCGTGGAGAGAAATGTTTTCTTTCCAAACTCATCTCCTGAACATCAGATACTGTGCAAGTTGCTCACATGCTGGTTTGCACCTAATCTAAACGTCTAAGTTTAAAAAGAACACATTTTCCCCAGAATTCCATTGTCCATCCCGATCCCTACATCCTTAAGTCCCTCACACAGCAATCCTTCCCCACCCAATGCCTTTTCGCTTCACTGTAGTGATGCTTGAGAGCAGAAAGCATACCCAGGCTGCAGATTAAAATGGCCGCTGGAGAGGAAAAATGGCGGAACTTGTAGGATTTCTGACAAACACCAACGAAGTACACACACCGGAAAAGCAGTGCATCTGCCTCTGCAGTGATGTTCAGGGATGGGCAGAAGAGCCATATCCTCAAATGCTAATCTGCTCCCAAACTGGGAATTGGAAATTTGAAAAACTGGCCCCATTCTACATCATCTGCACTGCAAAAGACATGCAAAAGGCTGCAGAAGATACAAGATTTAAATCTGGAAGAAGGATAGGAAAAAGATATAAATGGAAATTATGCTTGGAGGTGGGGAAGGAATATGACATAATTTATTTTGGCATTTGATCAGGCAAGCCATCGGTTTATATAATTTCCTTCTTCCTAGTCCGTTGTTTTACATACAACCAGAAAACAAAAACTCAGAATAAGGAACTGAGTCCAGCAAGCTGGCTAGTCATGCAGAATTGCGATTCCTACAAATTTAATAAATAAATAAAACTAGTCCCTTTATTTTCTGAGAGCAACACAATAATGCTACTCAATGGTGCTCTATGCCAAAAGCAAAATTAGAAATTATTTTCCCCATTTTTGATATTGTAATATGTCAGGTTTGGGATTACAAAGAAATGTTGGTCCAATTTTGCTCATTCTCTCCTAGGCAGAGAAATGGATTCAAGACCTCCTTTGGCCTCAGTCACCCAGTTCGATCTTACGCAGTTTTTCTTAGCAAAGATATGGGAGTTCAGCAAGAGTTTCTTTTAAGCTAAGCCACTCCAAAGATCTCCTTTAGCGGAGTTTCTCAATTTTGGTAAGTTACTGAAGGGTGAACTCTAATTCCCAGAATTCCCCAGCCAGCTGGCTAGCTGGCTGGCTGGGGAATTATGAAAGTTGGAGTCCACCCATCGGAAACCTGCCAAGGTTGAGAAATGTTATACTCAGGTATGCATTTTCCATCCCATACATCATGACTCTGCTCAAAATGGGTCAGCAGACGGCATGAACTAAAAAGGAGGAAAAACAACAAAAATGTTGGTGTGCGATGAAAGAATGGACGATTTGGCTCATGGAATGATTCATCAGCTAAGCAAGGGTGGGACAGGAGGACCAGCCAAAACGGGCTGTGGTTGTCTCAGAACAGCTTTGTGTCGAAAGTACCATTAGCCCAAGGCCAGTTCAAGGTGTTCCTTATTTGTTTATTTAGTTTATTAATGATATACCTCTATGCCGCCGCAATTGAAACGACAGGGAGAACAGAGCGGCTGGAGAGTGACAGTTCTGAAAAGTGGGTGTCATGTTTTGCTTACTTTCTAGTGTTGTTTATGCAAAATGGTTCCTCCTTCCTGATTATATTGAACAATCACCACTGTAAGGTTTCAAAAAATGATGGCCTAGAAGTCTTTCTCTACTCCCTTCCTTTTCTGTTAGCAGGACATATTCAAAGCTGCACTTATTCTAATCAGAGGGAGGACAAGTCAAAATATGTACATGGAAATCTGCATGCACACAAAATTGAACTTTTCACAATATATTGGATGGCCTATTCTACCAAACAGAATAGGAGCTTTATTATTTATTGAAAGATTTTTTTGTTTTTTTAAAAAAAGTCTTCTGCTATTTTTTTCTTCATCCCATCCTTGCTTTCCAAGGCTTAATTTCGGACATGCTCTCATTGTCTATTGCTCTTCTATAATCTTTGCGTATACATTAAATTGTAGAAAAAGGAGAGGAAAAAATCACATTGCAAGTGCTAAAATTATATGTGGCTTGCTATATGTCGTGCACACGCAGACAAAATAAAATTCTCAAGTCCCCAAATTAAAAATTATAAATCATTGAAAAAAAATGTCCTCGTGCACCATTGCATAAAGCTTTATAATATAAAGCTATTGGAGTGAACAAACTTTAGTATTTTCTACGAGGACTTATTAATAACATATGATAGGGGAAAAAATAAAGTCAAATAAAATTATTCCTTTGCCTATGGGAAAATGTTAGTCAAAGCTCATAGAATGTAACAGCAGTACCTCTGAACAAGTACAGAGTCCCTTATCTACAACACCTAAGAACTAGATTTGGAAAAAACATCCTCTTACTGAAATCTATACCTGTTTTATATCTGGATATGTTGTCTTTCATGCTTACGCATTCAAATGAAAATAATACGGATCAGATTGCATTCTGCTTTCCAGTTTACTCACGCTGAGGGCTAGCAAAAGTCCTTTAGAACTCATCAAATTATACCTTAAATGACTTCCCAGGATAGAGATAAGTAACCGGAAAAGACTTCAGGGTAACCCTAACTTTATTCAAAGGTAAATCTCACTGTGATCAAATGGATCTATTTCTTAGCAAAAGGATCTATTCCTTCATTATTTTTAGGGTTTGTCTCAGGATAAAGCCTAAAATATTTCTTGGCAGGAAATATCACAAGGTCATGTTAAAAAAAACCCTACCAGGTAATATAAAGGTTTTTTTTTAAGGAAAAGAAATCCATAAAATAAAAAGGGATTAGAGATGAGGGTGGAGTGATGGATTTACACATACAAACACATGCTAGTTTGCATATGGAAATAATTGATCTCCTTAATATCTATTTCTGCAACATAAAACTGCTAGATGCGAGTTTCTGCAGATTATGTTATTATAAAAATAAAAAAAAATTCTCCATCCTTTAATGAGTTTTGCACCCAAACACATTTTTCCTTATGTCACAACTCATAATAACCACAATAAATAATAATAATAATCACAACAAAGATGCACTGGGTTTTTTTTTTAATACAAGTTGCTAAAGAGAGCTCAAAATGCACATCTGGAAGAGAACATTCCCTCCTATTCTATATCACAATGTCCTGCTTGCTATTATTCAACCGCCAAAGATGCGTTTGTTTTCCTAGTTGCTGGCTAAACTGTTTCTCGATTGCATTTCTGTCTTTTCAAATCTCGTGTTTAAAGTACGGCAGCTTCATTTGGAAGAGAATACCCACGAGTGAAGTAGCTGGATGTCGGAAGAAAATATACGATTATATATTAAAGGGGGAGAGAGAGCGCGATCGCAAACCGAGTGCTTACAACTAAGCTCCTTTAAATCCGGCGACCCCCACCCCCCCATCTCCTCCTTTTTTAGGAAAGCCCCAAAGCAGAGTGGGATCTGCTTCCGAAGAAACGCTCCCACTTTGCTTCCATTCCCAAGGGAAGACACTTCGGATCGGCCGCCCTGCAAGTCGGCGCGATGGATCCCCTTCTCCCACTGGCCGCCAACAAGAGAGGGATCCGTAAAAGAGATTCTTACCTCGCATCTTCTACGCCGAGGTTCCCTTCTCTTTATCTCTCTTCTGGAAATAATAGCATGGAAAAAAAAACAGGCTGTCAGAAACAAAACTCCTTGCCAGAAGGAGAGGAGGGGAAATAAATAGATACGGCGGGGAGCGGAGGGTATAAAGTTTCCAGCGTGGGATCGGGCGGGTGGTTGGTTTCCCGCGATCGCTCGATCTGCTGGCTTCTTCTCTTCGGCTTGTGTTTTGCAGCTCGCCCAAACGATTAATGAGAAGTGGGTTGAAGAAGCGTCTTCCTTCTGACGTCTCCACACCTTCCTTCCTTTCTCCTTCCTTCGCTCCTTCTTTCCCGGCCAAGCGCTCTTGGACAACTGCTAACCTACTTTCTTACAGAGGTTGGTATGTACAAGAAGCATGGGAAACTCACATGACAAATCCCTGGCTCGGGCTCCGCCCACCTCCTGTCAATTTCAGCCTTAGCCCCACCCCTCTGGGTCCGGGGCCCGCCCCTTCGCTTTGCATCCTCGGATTTGTGTTGTCCTGATCGGTTTTCCGTCGGTAAAGAGACTCCGAACGTGATTTCTTTTTCTTTTTCGTTGCATTTACACTTTTCTCTGTTTTATTCTCCACATCCAGAAAAAAAAAGTATTTATTGCATTTATTTATATTCGTTTACCAGTTTTCTCTACAACATTTATTTACTGTATGTTTATTAAATATTTGTTAACTAGATTGCTGTCTGAGGAGTTTCATTTTACAAACAGTACTTATTTTAGTGACTGACTCATTTCGTGACTTCACTATTTTGATGGCGATGAAGAAGTAACTTTCCGACCAATCTCTACATTTACAACTTTTCCAGATCTGAAAAGCCACGAAAAGCTAGAGTATAATCACTTCCACTTAGCAACTGCTTCATTTAATGACCAAGTTGCCAGACTCGGCTATAGTCATTAAATGAGGACTATTTGTTTTTGCATACTGTGCTTTTTCATTTATTCATTTTGTTTACGATGTATTTTCTACTCTTGACCAGAAAGATATTAAACACGGTGTTTAACACAGCAACGGACTGAATAAGGACAAGAAACCAAACTAAAGAATAAACTGAACTAATATGTACAGCTTTTCTTCCAAATGCCTGGATGGTTTTCATTTAGTCTTGGAATGATTGTAATTTTAGTGCCCATTTAATCTGTCCTGGAATAGCAGTCAAGAATCAGAAAGGCTGGAGCAGAAAAGGCCCTGCTTTAAAATTGCATTAAAATAAGGATAAACTTGGTAAACCGCTGATGAAGAAGCAGAGTTGTATACTGTTAGCAACAAATCATCATCACAACAGAAATATTGGGAAAAAAATATAAGATGCTGTTTCATAACAGACCCATTTGGCTTGCAATTTGGAGTACAGATAAGCCTCGACTTAAAACAGTCATTTAATGACTGTTCGAAGTTACAATGGCACTGAAAAAAAGTGACTTATAACCATTTTTCACACTTATGACCCTTGCAGCATCCCAATGGTCATGTGATTAGCATTTAGAAGCATAGCAATTAGTTCATATTTATGATGGTTGCAATGTCCCAGGTCATTTGATCACCTTTTGTAACCTGACAGGCAAAGTCAATGGGGAAGCCAGATTCACTTAGCAATCTCATTGATAATTTAACACCTGCAGTGTTTCATTTAACAACTGCGGCAAGAAAGGTCGTAAAATGGGGCAAAACTCACTTATGAAATGTCTCACTTGACAGAAATTTTGGTTTAATTGTGGTTGTAAAAGTGGAGAACTGCCTGTATCCTCAGATATTCCTTGTGTAAAACCAAGATCTGCACCTTATGGTGATGAGTTCCACATACTAATATAATAACAACTCATTTTGTTTTGTCATTAGTATTCAGTGATATAGTGTACCTCTGTAGAATATTGTGTCATTAAGTATAAACTTTATTGGTCAAATGTCCCCATTGCTTATTTTAATTCCATTTAAAATACTTTTGAGGCCAGTGGCACTTTGGTTGATTTTATCATTTGGGGGGAATAGCATTGGATCGCCTTTATTTTAACATGGGGAATAATTTAATTTCACTTCACTTTATCACCACTTATGTGTATTTTTTATCACACTCTTTCTCATTGTATTCTTGAAGTAAAAACAGAAAGAAGTCCTAAGTTTCAGCACTATTAGTTATCCTTCTTGCACCTTTTTAAACTCTCTTTTTTGTTTAGAGCTGGGATGTAGGTTTTCTTTGAAGCATTTTCTTCAAGAGGACTAGCACCTTGCAAGCGGCAAAAACTAAAACTGTGGGGCCAGAGGCAGTGATTTAACCCTAAGTACGCTAGTTATTTTAAACCTCCATAGTGTCACCTAGTAAGAGGGGAAAAACCCACAGGCATTTTGAAAGTCATAACAGACTTTAAAAGTTCCATGATACACCTGTACTTAATGACATGCTGTTATTCAGGTTAGTTGGAAAGCTTTCAAATGATCATCCAGCATATTCTTATGACCAGCAGAGCCACTAATTTTGGCTAAAGGAACGAAGTGGAAAAAGATCGTCCTTACCCCAATAGATGATGGCTAGCAATATTTCTTGCTACTTATGTAAAAATGTCTGAATAAAGTATATTTACTAATTTTTAGAAACTTGAGCTGTTTTTCTTGTTGGCTATAAATTATATACCATGCAAATTATATATATCTGATATTTCTGCATTCTATTGCTCTCATGCAGAACTTATCTAAGCAGTAGAATAATTATTTGTAAATTTTGAAATTTGTTTTGGCCAGTTGAAATTTGGGCCAGGCCAATACATTAAGATCACTTCTTCTAATCCAGACACTTTATGGACTAGTGGGCGGCTGTAGTGAAATGAAGAAGAAGCTGTCTTTAGGTTTGACATGCATTCCCACAAACTCATGGACATCCAGTATTATACTGAATAACATGGGTCATTGGATGACATGATGCATCAAAGGCAATTAACAAACCAAGGCCTACTTTCAGGAATACCAATACCAAGTCTTTCCAAACGAGGTTTAGAAATTGGAAGTCACTGCCAGGAATTGGAAATAAAATGGAGAGTGGCAGGTTAGACCTGCAGTTATCCACAGACCAAATTTAGCAAAAGAAGTCAGCACACAACATACACTGAAACTGTCCTTATGTGACAATTATGCTCCAATATGGAATCTGGCTAGCTGACCCACATTTTTTTACTATAGCTGGGCTGCAGAACTCAGAATGACCTTTAGATTGCAGCAGAGTGAAAAATAGTTGAATTTTGCTACCTGGATATGGTCGGTCGTCTTAGAAACTGAAAAATTGTTGCTATGGGTAGTCCTAGACCTGTGATGGCGAACCTATGGCATGCATGCCACAGGCAAACTTACCTCACTGCGCATGCGTTCGCCTCCCAGCTGATTTTCAGGACTTTTTCAGCCTCCCAGAGGCTCGAGGGAAGCCTCTGCAGCCTTTGGAGGCCGAAAAACAGACCCGTTTTGTCACTTCCTATATTTTCGGAAATACCGGAAGTGACGAAACGAGCCCATTTTTCGGCCTCCAAAGGCTGCAGAGGCTTTCGTCGAGCCTTCAGGAGGCTGAAAAAGGCCCGAAAATCAGCTGGGAGGTGCACACATGTGCAGTGCAGGTAAGGGGGTGGGGGTGGGGCGCATGCATTGCCCTTTGGATGCTGGCACGCGAGTGAAATTTTCGGCACAGGAGCCCAAAAAGGTTAGTCACACTGTCCTAGACTTATGGTTGTAATGGAGCTTGCCCATTATGGTTGCAAATCATGATGCTTGTAAAGCGAATCGGCTATGTGATTGATTCAATTTTTTGACAGTTGTTAAATGAATCATTGCAGTCATTAAGCAAACCCACTGTTGCCAAGTAAATGCCAATTTTCAGCAAAAAATGTCAGAAATCACAGTCTCTTGACTGCAGCATGCTACGATTGGCCATAAATGCAGACTGGTTGCCAGGGACCCAGAATGAGATCACGTGAGCCTGCGTAAGGGGATAATTGGCATAACTTTGAGTCATATGTACCTTTTGGTGGGTCTGTCTCTGTCATAATTTCAAATTTCCAGTAAGTGACCAGTCATAAGTTGAGGATTACTTGTAATAAGCTTTAGTTTCTGCCTCCTCTCCCATAGGGTCTGTTTCCTGTCTGGTGTTTCTGCTCCAGATCTCACTGTAGCATATGAAGTAATCAGTGGCCAATCAAAACAAAACAAAAACAAAAACAAAACTTGAGAAATCCAATATATGATGCACCAGATGCAGTTCCATTTTATACAGAAAGTTATGACTTGAATGTGTGCTTATCAAATTGTCCGTCATGATAATGCACAGAGAGTAGCTGGGTTGGAGAGGGGGGAGGAAAAGCAAAAATGCATGGATACACACATGAACCAGCTGTGTACAATGTCACCATCCCCCCATCCCTTATGTGCATGCTCACACTCAAACACACACACACACACTGATGGATTTAAATTCTGCAGTATATAAGCTGGCTTTGTAAGATCAGGAATTCTGAATATCTACCGCCATTTTAATGCAGCTTAACAGCTAGCAAACTAACAAATGTAAGGGAATGAAGAATTTATATCATGGTTATACAGGATATCTTGATCTTAAATGAAGAGGCTACAAAACAGTAGCCTAGGAGGCCTGGAAAAGCCTTGTTATCTGTCAAAAAGGCGAGAAGATAGATCCTATTTTAGCTTCCATCATTGCTCAATTAATGGAACACTGCAGAAAGACTCCCCAAAAGCTCTCCAAGCAGAAGGACTAGGGGAAACATGATAGCAGTATTCCAATATCTCAGGGGATGCCACAAAGAAGAGGGAGTCAAGCTATTCTCCAAAGCTCCTGAGGGTAGGACAAGAAGCCATGGGTGGAAACTAATCGAGGAGAGAAACAATCTAGAACTAAGGAGACATTTCCTGACAGCTAGAACAATTAATCAGTGGAACAACTTGCCTCCAGAAGTTGTGAATGCTCCAATCCTGGA